CGCAGCCGTTGACAACCATCAGGGCAAACTTAGGATCATTCATCGGCACAACCAAGTGGCAACAGGACGAACAACCGTGATTATCGGGACAGCAGTTCCGACAACCATCGAGACAATTATCGGAGCAACGATTGGGACGACCACGTGACAACAACGGGGCAACCACGGGACAACCGTGGGAATTCCCGCTCTCGCACAGCATGGCCGTCCTCTTTCCATGCCTGGGTTGCCCGCCAGAAGCTTAGAGGACCCTCACCAGGCACCCGTCAGCCAGGCCTCACTGACGTGCCTAATGTATGCGATGCGATTTGGCCATGCTCGCCTTTTGTTTGTCTCCATGGCGTCCTGAACGGCGCAAGAAGCCCTCAATAGGATCGCCCGAGGACGGTTCAAAAAAGACCCAACGGGGTCCCAAGAAGAGGCCCAAGGTGTTCCCAGAAGCACCAGGACGGGCCCAGGCGGGCCCGAAGACGAGGCCCCAAGAGAGTCCCAACACGGCCCCAATCAAACTCGTCCAAATCTCGAAAAGGCCAACATGGTGCAGCGTCCTCGGTGCCAAACCAGCCCCGAGAGGCCTCCTCCTCCTCCTCCTCCTCCTCCTCCTCCTCCTCCTCCTCCTCTTCCTTCTCCTCTACAGATACGACAATGCATGGGGCAACTACCTGCCAGATCGAGGCGAAAGGGAAGTGAGCCGAGCGGGAGAGGAGAGAACATAATAAAACCGGTAGGGTAACCAGGCCCCCCAGCAACAGTTTGGGAACACGGGCCTCCCGACCCTCCCCCCTCCTCCTTATTGAAGTGTCGTGTCGTCGTTTCCTCCCCCATAGCTTCGGCGCACTGCTAAGCCCGCGCGTCCCCTCCCCTAGGGCACGCGGAAAGGCCAGCAGCTGCTCCAACCGCACTGACTCGCAAGGACTCGTAATCGCAAGGTGGCGAGCCTCTCGTACGGGGCCACTTCGGAGTTCACTCCTTGAGCAACGTGGTATGCCCCCTGCCGGCCCTAGTGAGAAGGTAGGGCCGTTGCACAACCAATCGAAGGGGATGTTGTCAGAAGCGCGCAAAGCACCAGCGTAGGTGTTTTGATGTTGAACCCCCTTTATGCGGATGTCGTGTCCTGTCCTCCTCCTCCTCCTCCTCCTCCTCCTCCTCCTCCTCCTCCTCCTCCTCCTCCTCCTCCCCCCTCCATCCATGCCCCCACAGCGCCTTCCAACAGGCCATCAAAGCCCCCGAGCGGCCACCAGAGAGCTCTGCCCCTAGAGACCACGCAAGACCTGTATAGCGCATCGCATCGACAACGAGTCCATCTCAATGTACACGCAAGCATTCAAAGCACGAGGTTCGGCTCAACTCGGGCATGTCCCTGTACAACGTAATATCCTATGATGATTGCGACGAGCAGTGTGGTTACGATGTTTCGTTGTATGTTTTCCTATACCTGGTATGCTTCGACTATTTTTCGTTTCTTATCTTGCACTGGGTGTCGAGAGTTCCGACAATTTTATCCCGTGTCGCACCGCGCCCAGCGGCCCGGTGGAACCACCGCCCAGTGCCCCCTCCGCCCCGACCATTTTACTCCGTGTCGCCCCGCGCCCCCCCTCCCCGCCCCCGGCCCCGCCCCTCCTCAGCGACCCTTCCCGCCCCGACGACTTCAATCCGCGTCGCACAGCGCCCTCCCGTCCCCGCCCCCCTCCTGCCTCTGCCCAGCGTTCCCCGGCGGCCCAATGGAACCTCCGTCCAATGCCCCGTCCACCCCGACCATTTTATTCTGGGCTGCACCGCCACACGCCCCACTCCCCGCCCCACCCACACTTCCCCAGCGTTCCCCAGCGGCCCACTGGAACTCCCGCTCAGTGCCCCTCTGCCCCGACGATTTTATTCCGCGTCGCACCGGGCCCCCTCCCGTCCTGCGTCGCTCCTACCCTTCCCCAGCGCCCCCCAGCGGCCTAGCGGAACCTCCGCCCAGTGCCCCCCCCGCCCCGGCTATTTTGCTCCGCGTCGCACCGCGCGCCCCCTCCCTGCCACCCACCTACCCCTCCTCAGCGGCCCAGTGGAACCCTCGGCCAGTGCCCCCCCCGCCCCGACCAGATCATTCCGCGTTACACCTCGCCCTCCCCTTCACCGCCCCCCATGCTACCCTTCCCCAGCGTTCCCCAGCGGACCAATGGAACCTCGTCTCAATGCCCCCTCCGCCCCGACGATGCTATTCTGCGACGCGCCGCACCCCCCCCCACCTCACGCCCCACCGGACCCTCCCCCAGGCCTTCCCGCCAGTCAAGGGAACCTCCGACGAGTGCCCGATTCCCGACACTTCATTCCGGTCGAACCCCCCCCCCCCCCTTTAACGCCCCCTCCTGACACTCCCAGCACCCCCCAGGGCCAATGGATACACAGTCCCACTGGCTCCTCCGCCCGACTGTGCTCATTCAGCGCTCGCGCCTCCCCCCCTCATCTCTCCCGCGCCCCTCCTACCCCTCACCAGATTACCCAGCCGGGGGCCAAGTGGAAAATCACGATCACAGTCCCCTTCCCGCCCCGGGCCATTTCTATTCGCGTCGCGCCGCGACCCCCCTCCCGCCTCCCTGTTCCTACCCTTCCCCAGCGTCCCCTAGCGCCAGAGTGGAACCTCCGCCCAGTGCAAACTTTCCGCCCCGGACACTGTTATTCTGCGTCTGCACCGCGCCCCCCATCCCGTTCCTAGATTTTCCCCAGCGTTTACCCCAGATCCCCCAGAGGGCCAAAACCATGTTATTCCCGCGGTCGCACACCGCGCCCCCGCGCCCCCCCCCTTCCCCGCACCCCTCCTACCTTTCCCCAGCTTTCCCCAGCGGCCCATTGGAACGTCCACCAAGTGTTCCCTCCGCCCCGACAACTCTATTCCGCGTCGCAGCGCGCCCCCCCTCCCCGCCGCCCTCCTACTCCCCAGCGCCAGCGTTCCCCAGCGGTCCAGTGGAACCAATGCCCAGTGCCCTTTCCGCCCCGACTATTTTGCGTCGCGCCGCACCCCCCCCATCACCGCCCACCTCCTACCCCTCCCCAGCGTTCCCGAACGGCCCCGTGGAACCCCCGCCCAGTACCCATTCCGCCCCGGCGATAGCATTCCGCGTCGCACCCCCCCACCCCTTCCCCGCCCCCTCCTACCCCCCTTTTCCCCGCATCCCATGCAAACCCGCCCCGGCGTTCCCCAGCGGCCAATTGGAGTTTCCACCCGCCATTTGTTCCATCCGCCCCAACAATTTCATTCCGCGTCGCGCCGCGCCTCCCCTCCCCGCCCCATTTCCTCTATTCCCAGCGTTACACAGCGGCCCATTGGAACTTCCGCCAGTGGCCCCTCCGCCCCGACATCCGTGCCGCGTCGCACCGCGCGCCCCGCTCCCCGCCCCCTCCCCCTTCCCCCCTAGTGTTCCCCAGCGGCTCATTGGAACTTTCGTTCAGTGTCTCCTCCGCTCCGACCATCTTCTTCCGATTCTGCGCGCCTTCCCGCCCCCCGCTCCAGCGTTCTCCAGCGGCACAGTGAAACCTCCGCCCAATGCCCCCATCCGTCCACCCCGACTGTGTTATTCCTCACCACATCGCGCCCCGTCCCGCCGCACCCGTCCCCCCTCCTCCCGCCGCCCCCCCCCGTGCCCAAGAGTTCCCCAGCAGCCCAGTGGAACCACCGTCCAATGTTTTTTCCGCACGGATAATTCCATTCCGCGTCGCACCGCGCCCCTCCTCCCCGCCCCCCATCCTCTTCCCAGCGTTCCCCAGCGGCCCAGTGGAACATCTGCCCAGTGCTCCCATCCGTCCACCCCGACCGTGTTATTCCTCACCACATCGCGCCCCGTCCCGCCGCACCCGTCCCCCCCCTCCTCCCGCCGCCCCCCCCGTGCCCAAACTTTCCCCAGCAACCCAGTGGAACCACTGTCCAATGTTTCTTCCGCACGGATAATTTCATTCCGCGTCGCACCGCGCCCCTCCTCCCCGCCCCCCATCCTCTTCCCAGCGTTCCCCAGCGGCCCAGTGGAACATCTGCCCAGTGCTCCCATCCGTCCACCCCGACCGTGTTATTCCTCACCACATCGCGCCCCGTCCCGCCGCACCCGTCCCCCCCCTCCTCCCGCCGCCCCCCCCGTGCCCAAACTTTCCCCAGGAGCCCAGTGGAACCACCGCCAAAGTTTTCTTCCGCACGGATTTTTTCATTCCGCGTCGTACCGCGCCCCTCCTCCCCGCCCCCCATCTTTTGTGTTGCCAGCGTTCCCCATCGGCCCAGTGGAACATCTGCCCAGTGTTCCCCTCCGCCCCGACCATTAGATTCCGCGTCGCGCGGCGCGCCCCGCCCCCGCCCCCCATCCCTTTTTTCCCCAGCGTTCCCCAGCACCCCAGCAGCTCAGTGGAACCCCCTCCCGCCCCGTGCACCCTCCGCCTCCGTTGCGGGCCCCCGGGGAGTTCTTCGGATTTTCTGTTGGTTTCTTGGGTGTTTGTTGGAGGCTTCTTGGGAGAATGTTGGGATTCTGGGGAGCCATCTCGCGGGGGAGGGCCCTTGGAGCCTCCTCGAGCTCGTCCTGTCAAGCCCATCTTGCGGCCCCCGTTGGTCCCTCCTTTCCCGATTTCTCGCACCCCATATCCCTTCCCCGTCCTCTTCCTTCACTTTCTCCTCTTTCCCCTTCCATTCGGTGCAAGAACCATGGCACGCGTGCCATTTGTTTCGAAATCCGCCTAGAGGAGGACATTCCCGACGTAAGACTTAGACCGGGGGGGATTCTTGTGTCGTGAGGGCACGGGGAGGGGCGAAGCCTTTCCTCAAGGGGATCACAGAGCTGGAGGAGCAAAAAAGGGTTGTTGACATTAGATGCGTTGTTGACCTGCACGACGGCGCACGGACGCGGAGTGAATGGGTGTGTCTTGACCAGCGGGGGTAGTGCGAAGCAAGAGATTTGGGCGATTTGGAGGTGGCATCCTTGTACCCCTGCGACGTACTCTTATTCCTCATCCTGGCAATATCCTTTGCGGGGTGCGCCGAGGTCGTAGACAAGGAGCAGCCGAGCGTGGTCTTATTAGGCAAGCAGGCCAAGCATTCGCCGCTGCCCCTCTCCAAGCATGCCTCGCGCGTGGCCGCTGGTTCGTGTGGCATACACCTTAGGCGATGCTTAAGAAAACTTAAGTTTTCGGCCAGAGTCTTGATTATTCCTAGCCGGCCGCTCTGCGGTTGATCGGGAGTTTCTGTATATAGAAGAAGGTGCGTGCGCTTGTTGGCGAGGGTGAGGATGAGGTTCCTCCTCCTCCTCCTCCTCCTCCTCCTCCTCCTCCATCCTTCTCTTGCCTCCGTCTGTCCTCCTCCACCCCGCAGCTCCATCATCTTCTCCTCCTCCTCCTCCTCCTCCTCCTCCTCCTCCTCCTCCTCCTCCTCCTCCTCCTCCTCCTCCTCATTCCTCCTCTGGGCACCTCCCCCGGGGCGCGGATCCACCGGATCTGTCCGGATCTGTCCGGAAACGGTGCGGAGGCCGCTCTGGGCTCCTCTGGGCACCTCCCCCGGGGCCGGTTTTGTGAGGATGTCTCAAGCGAGGGCGCCGGTTTGGGATTCGTCCCCGGATCCAGCGGATCCGTCCGGATCCGTCCGGAAACGGTGCCGGAGGCCGCTCAGGGCTCCTGTGGGCACCTCCCCCGGGGCCGGTTTTGCGGGGATGTCTCAGGCGAGGGCGCCGGTTTGGGATTCGCCCCCGGATCCAGCGGATCCGTCCGGATCCGTCCGGAAACGGTGCCGGAAGCCGCTCTGGGCTTCTCTGGCCACCTCCCCCGGGGCCGGATTTGCGGGGATGTCTCAGGCGAGGGCGCCGGTGTGGGATTCGTCCCCGGATCCAGCGGATCCGTCCGGATCCGTCCGGAAACGGTGCCGGAGGCCGCTCTGGGCTCCTGTGGGCACCTCCCCCGGGGCCGGTTTTGTGAGGATGTCTCAAGCGAGGGCGCCGGTTTGGGATTCGTCACCGGATCCAGCGGATCCGTCCGGATCCGTCGGATCTGTCCGGAAACGGTGCCGGAGGCCGCTCTGGGCTCCTCTGGGCACCTCCCCCGGGGCCGGTTTTGTGAGGATGTCTCAAGCGAGGCCGCCGGTTTGGGATTCGTCACCGGATCCAGCGGATCCAGCGGATCCGTCCGGAAGCGGTGCCGGAGGCCGCTCTGGGCTCCTCTGGGCATCCCCCCCGGGGCCCGTTTTGTGAGGATGTCTCAGGCGAGGGCGCCGGTTTGGGATTCGTCACCGGATCCAGCGGATCCAGCGGATCCGTCCGGAAACGGTGCCAGAGGCCGCTCTGGGCTCCTCTGGGCACCTCCCCCGGGGCCGGGTTTGCGGGGATGTCTCAGGCGAGGGCGCCGGTTTGGGATTCGTCCCCGGATCCAGCGGATCCGTCCGGATCCGTCCGGAAACGGTGCCGGAGGCCGCTCTGGACTCGTGCTCTTCGCGCCGGGGGTGAGGATGACGTGAGTTCCACAGAAACTCCCTCAAATAAACCAGCATCCCGTATACGCCAGGATCCGCTTTCTTGTTCGAGTTTCAGTGCAGGGCTGGAAAAAGCGTCGGTGTATAGAGCTCGGTTCCCTAATTGTTTGTCCCCCTAGGGAGACCAGCCCGGTGGCTCCCTCCCCCCCATGTGTCCTGTGCCATGTGTTTCGTGGCCTTGCCGTCGGCATTCCTACGGTCACGCTGCCTTCCAAGCGGTCTTGCATCCTCGCTCCTCGCGCGTGGATCCCGGCGGGGGACCGCTTGCGCCTGCAGCATGCAAGAAAGTGCCCTCCCGCCCCCTTTCTGCGGGCAAGCGGGCAAGACTTTGATCCATATCGAGTGCTCCTTGAACTCTCTTGCAAGTGGAGCCACAAGGCAGAGGCGCACCGGGTATTGACCAACATCGAGCTTCTGGCGGGCAGATTCTTGGTCCATCTCCACTGCGCCTCGGGTGTCTGGGGAAGGGAGCCCGACACTCCAAGCTGCAGTGGATATAGACATAAATCTTATGTCGGTCCCATCGCACTTGAGGACCACGTCCTAGAACTAGATTTGAGAACACAGAACAATAGCGAAGCAGTGTCTTCCCGACACGCCAGCGACCTGTCAAACGAGCATCGGCCCTCAGGGCACGACACGCTAAACATTAAAGTTGCCGGTATCGGTTTTTGAATTCAATATATAAGTTTTTCATTCAAAATACAAGTTCTCTTGTTGCTCGAGCTTCTATGAATTCGGTAAAACAAGTTTTCTTTTTGCTCGAACTTTTTTTTGTGGCCAGAGCTAAAATTGGCCGGAACATCACACCACATGTTTTGCTCGCACGCTCGCAGATGGCAACGGGGGGCGACCCACACGGGGGGGGAAGAACAAATTTCTAAAGGAGTCCTTTAGGGCCCCTTTTGGAGCCAGCAGGTGCCAAAAAGGGGCCCTCCAGGGCCCTTCTCTTCACAGACCCCCGACGTCGTGATTTTTGTTCGCAACGTTCACCTCTGGGGGTCTCCACCCCTGGGTGTCGAGACCTCCTGGGGTAGACGCTGCGCGAGCTCGCGTCCTCGCCCCTCGGCTGGGGCGCTGGGGGAGAGGGGGCCCTGGCCGAAAGGCGCCGCGCCCAGCGGCGCCATCGGCGCCGGCACCGCGCCGAGGGGTCTGCGCCTGCTGCCCCTGGTGCGGCAGGCGCGGGGGGAGCGGGGACGGGGAGGGCAGGGGGGAGGTGCCATCAAGGCCTCCTAGATGGGGTCGAAGTAGGAGGATAGCCTCGCATGTAGGCCTCCTCCTCCTCCTCCTCCTCCTTCTCCTCCTCCTCCTCCTCCCACTTCCCCTCCTCCTACTCCACCTCTCCGCCCCATCCACTCTACCCTACACCCTCGCCTCCTTTATGGCCTCCATGTAGGCCTCCTTTATGGGGCCAGAGGATGGCATCGCATCGGCGATGCGGCTCGATGTGGGGCCAAATTTTCTCCACGCCGACGTCGCCGAGCCGCCAGCGCATCGCCGATGCATCACCGATGCATCGGCGTTGCGGCGAGATCCTCCGACCCCATCTACTCGGACCCCATCTGGGAGGCTTCCATGTCAAGCGGTCGGTCATGGAGGAGTTGGCCGGACTGAGGCGTAAGATCGAGGTCGGTTCATGGAGGATGCCCCAGTGTGTTTCGTGTTCGTTGGATACTCTTGCGCGTCCTGGGGAGGGTACCTTTAGATGTTAGACGGAGGCTTGTATTTTCGAGGGGTGTTCTTCTGGCCCAGGTCTGACTGTGACTCAAGCCCAGAACCCCTCGCGTTGTGAGTAAGTCGCGACGGAGGGTTTTGATCGCTTTCTTCGGCCTCGAGGGGCAAGAACTGGGGACTGGGGCCCTAAAGGGCCCCTTTCGGGATACGTTCCTCACCCCCCCTGGGTCGCCCCCATTACCACCCGCCCGTGGGGGGGGGGGGGGGGGGAAGGTCGACCAGGAGGGGAGACCAGTATCCTGCCAGCATCCTCGGGGAGCGAATGCCGACATGGATGTAGGCTTTGGGAGGTCCGCCTGGCTTGCTGGGATCGCCGCTGGCCCCGCCTGGGGGGATCAGTCCAGTCGGCCAGCGGGGTCGAGGCCCGCAGGTGGGGGACAGGCATCGGTCGGGCGACGCCTGGACCTCCAGGAAGGGGGGGCCTCTCGCCGCCGCGGCTGGGCCCCGGCCCCCCGGAGAGGGGGGCAGGAGGCGCCCCGGGTGGGCCCTCGGGCCCGCCCGCTCCTCGGCCCAGGCGGTCGCCTTGGCCCGCCTGGGGTCGTCCGGCGCGGTCTGCCCCCTCCTCTTCCTCCTCCTCCTCCTCCTCCTCCTCCTCCTCCTCTTCCTCCTCCTCCTCCTCCTACTCGCCTCCTCATCTCCGCATCCGCCTCCGCCTCCCCCGTTCCTCCGTGAGGACTCAGACCTCGGCCCCGCCCGCTCCGTGCCCGACCGCGGCCCTTGGGCGATGCTGCGGCCCGCCGCAGATGCGGCCGAGCGCTCGGCCGCTGCCTGCCAGGCGCGTGGCCGGGCCGCGCGGGGGGGCGCTTCCCTCGTGAGGTGCAGGGAGCAGCAGTCGCGGGCGATGTTTCTCCCCCACTCCCCGAGTTTCGCCCGAAAAGTCTGGCCGCCTTTTTTTTTTATTTCTTTTTTTAAGAATCATTCAGAAGAATGGGAAAACCCGTTTACTTCTTCTTTGTATGGGTTTGTTTATGTGGGATCTGGGGTGTTTGTTTTGATTTTCTATGATTTTTGTCTTTTGGTTGGGATACACCCCAAGGGGGCTATTCGGACGCACCCCTAGTTAGGCCCCAAATTTCTGGTCCATTCGGAAACCCCACGAAGCCTGGGATAGGGGTCGACATATCCCCTGTTAGAGGTGCGGGCAAGAGCTGTGAGGTCCCAGCCTGCGTCAGCCTGGGTCACCAGAAGGAGATCTGAGCACCGAGGGAGCACCGAGACTGCAGGCTTGCACACGTCAAGCCCTGGGAGACGATGCTCGTTCGACACTCTGCTAGCGTGTCGGGCAGACACTGTTTAGATATTCTGTACGGATGCTCGAAAATATTCCGGGATGTGATCGTCCCGATAAGTTATGGATGCGTGGAGTTGGCGGATGAGCAGTTGGAGGAGGAGGTGGCGGGCGAGCAGGAGGAAGCGCAGGATGAAACGGAGGAGACTGGAAGTAGGAGGACGAGGACGAACAGCAGGAGCAGGAATGGGAGTGGAAGGGGCGGAAGGAGCAAGAAGTCCAGAGGAAGGCGGAGGGGAGGAAATGAGGGAAGCGACAACGATGGCAAAGAACGCGGATCCAGGACAGTGGTCCACGCTTGGGCGAGGGCGCCATTCTGAACGACGGGAGCAAACTGCCGATCCGAAACTCAGGCTCACTCTGCCGCGGGAGCACCGTTTTGAAACACCGAAAGCAGTGGGACTGGAAAGCCAAACCTCAAGGGAGAGGCATCCCCCTTTTGAGACATCGTGCGTAGTTGACCCTTCCGCGGAGGGGGCGGGATACCTCCCGGACGTTGTCAGGGGAGGGGGGACAGTAATATTCACATGGTGCAAGTGCGAAGGAGGATGCGGAGGACGACGAAGCGGGCGATGGGGAGGAGGATCCGGTCG